ACTTTACCATGTAATCACAAAATTCTTTCATCATACATATTCTCAAAAGAACTTGAAAAGTATTTAGAAAACATTCATTTATATGAACGATTAATAGAATTCTTTTCTCTTTCCTATTTAGGTCTTGTCAAATGCCGGTTAATCCAGTAGATCTATTTCCACGCGCTGATACATTATCTCTACGTGGTTATAAGAAGATCAATTGTGTTCGAGATCTTGGTAATTGTAGAAGTTCTATATCATCATTAGTTCCATGGTCATTACTAACAAATATTTCAATCAATCATAGTTATGTTCTTACTCCGGCCACATTAGAATCAATATTACGGATGGCTTATAATGTACACACACTAGAAATTTTTGATGATTGTGGAATTTTATTTCGTCCAATATTAAATAATCATAATCTTACAACTCTAATCAATCAACAAGTAATGATTTTTATTTCAATTTTAAAAGAAATATCTCAATGAAATTATTTCTGTAAATTTTATTTGAACGAAGGTTCATATTTTCTTTTAAGAAAATCTTTCTCCAAAATTTAATGCAGAAAGGAAAAGATTATGAAGATTTAAACTTACGAGATAACTAAAACAACATATTTTTCGTTAAGACAAATCATATTTTCTATTAATTAGATTGAATCATTGGAAATCTTCGATATAACATTGACATTGCAAAATGCTCAACGAATTTGCACATTATTGTCTAATCGATTAGCTAACTTGAAGAAACTTTCATTTAATATTTGTGATGCATATCGTCGATGGAAATGGAAACCATCTTGTATTGTTGACGGGAAAAATAAATCCACAAGACGTATTCTTACTCTTATTTATCTGCTTGTTAATAAATTACAAAAACTTGTTTCGCTACACATTGGCTTTTGCAATTCCGAATTCCATGATACACCTTGTTTTCCACATTTAATTCGACGACAATTACATGAATATCCACTCAATCGACCATTTCGATTACGATTTTCTTCCAACGCAATTGAACTGTGGCTTTAATAATACATTAAATATGTTAATGTATTTTGTTGTTGTAAATTCTTCATATTTACATATGACTAAAAATAAAGACATGTTGAATTGGATTTTTTCATATTTAAATGTCGGAAAAACTCAAATGTTTGCTTTTTTTTTTACAAGGCATAAAATTGAAAGTTTGAAATTGAACTAATTTTTCTTGATTAATTTTGACATACAGTCAATATTTGCTATATTGAAGGAGATTAGATTCCTGAACAAAAAAAAGCAACTCTTTCAATCCTTTTTTTTCTATTAATAAATATATCTTCAGGAAAATTTACTTTCATTTGATACAACTGATGAAACTACATCGCTGCTTCATGAAATGGAAGTAGGTTTTAATAACCTTTAGAATTAGGACAAAAAAAAAGTTAGGTCAGTCAAAAAGTAGTGACAGTGACGCCGTAATGCCTGATAGTACGCTGAAGGAGAATTTCTTTTAGTATGAAACAATAGAGAAAAGAACGCTCTATCTTTCTATGGTATTTGATCATACTTTAGTTAATATTATAATAGTAGGGGTGTCATTTATCATTTACTTTACGCGTAAATTAAATGAAACGTAAATGTAAATTGACACCCCTAATTTTGATCGATTTTAATCAATTGTCACCTTTTAACCTGTTTTAGTCTATTGTTACCTTTTAATCCATGTTAATTGCACACATCGAAGATCGATAGTTTTCTTGAGAGTCGAACATGAAACCTGCAATAATCCATATTTATTTGGATTCATCGTGTTTACAAGCTGTGAAGTTGTCGCCAAACACAAGTCACCCATATATATTACGTTGAAAATCCTATAGAAATTGTTTCAAGGAGACATGGCGCAATTACAGCAGGAATCGATTAAAATAGAGCGTTCTATTGAATTAAATCCAAAAACGGCTATGTTTAATCGGTTTTTTTTAGATAACCTGAGGAAAATCACTTAAAAATCCTAGGCTACTGATCGATCGTTAGTCAATGAGGAAACGAATTCTATCAGAAAGAAATCCAAAAAAGTCACAATGCGCTTGATTACACTAATTCATTTCGATTAAAAACCTATGCAAACAACATCGATTTAACAGATTCTTAACACACAATAATGTGATCTTTGAGCAGCCTTCTTTGATCTTCATCGATTGAAATCAATTTCTTTATCAGAATTCAATCGACTATAGTAGAAATTGAATAGAATAATCAGTGAAACTTGAAGACTTTTCATTATATTGAACTATAATTGACCAAGAATACAATTATGGCAATGAAAAATGGCATGAATTTAATCGGTTCTGAATCAAACTCCATGGCATTTTAATTGCGTTGCTTTCCAACAATTTTCCATGAATTGAGAACTTCATGTGACAAAACTTTTGCTGGTTTTTCTAAATCGATTAAATTCGATTCGACTTTCAATCCATTATTTAGATTATTTTGTACGGAATAGATTTTAACAGATTATTCGTAAAACTAATGAAAATCAATTAGATTTTGTAATTGGTTATTTTGATTATTCCAAAAGTAATAAATTATCATTAAAATAATTTTAGAAACCCTATTAAAATCGATTCGGTTTTTAATTAACTTAATTCATCACTCTCACCTTGCTATTGTTTGCTGTACTTAGTTTGAATCATTTTGCTGTACTTGCATAATATGATCAAAGTACATGCATTTAACAAGCATCATAGTCGACTCACTGGGTTTTGTTTATTAGGAACTTCATGCACATACAAGTTTTCTCTTGAATGCAGGAAATTCTCCACACGATTTTCCGCGATACATTTTTTTCAAAGTTCAATTAATGTTTTGAGTTAGATTTTTCTAATAGAAAGGTCTTTGAAAATTTTAATGTAATCTAATATTCAACATATAAACGACATTAAAATAAAAAGAATCATTAGTTGTGATCATAACATGAGTTATATGTAAAAGCACGGTTGGATGTATCGATGGAAAGTAATTAACCATACCTCTAATAACAAATACATCTAGGGGCCAGTTTCTAGCCGCCTTTTAAATGAACTGATTCTTCAAAATTTAATTTATCTAACAGAATAGAAATGTAGTATCAGTCGAATTTTTCTTGAAAACCAGGCCCATTTGAATCTATAAAACATAACATGTTTGCTTTAGCAAAAACTGCCTATTTTTGTTCTATGTTGACTGAACCTAGAGAAATAGAACATGTGATTTAGAAGGAATTTCTTCTAACAAGAAATTAAATGGGTTCATGAATATCTACCTGCATTATTTGTTTCAAGTGTTTACGAGAAAAAATACATAGATTCTACTTCCTAAGACATAAATACAAATGACAGTTCTCGAGCAGTTCTACTTAAGTAGATATTAAGATTTCATCATTTCTAGAGTTTGTTCTAGCTTATTTGAAAACTACTTAATTATATTGATCATAAACTAATCTATTGTTTTTCTTTAGAAAGCAGAAGGAGAACACTGTTAATTGATAAACAGTCAAACATAAAATAATAAATATCACTTTCATCGAACATATTTTCTAATATAGATACAACCTTTCAAATAAAGTTCATTTCAATATATTTACAACTACTACAAGACATATTCGAATACAAATAAAGATAGTAATGAGCACGAAAAAATAAAGTGCAGTATATGCAGAACTGAAACTACTTCCGGGATCGAATGACTACTATTCAAAATTCAACTAAACACATTAGAAATATGAAAGAATGTATTTATAGTACACAGCTAGATTTTGAAATGCATTAGAATTTGTTCAGCTACATTTCGTAACGTGTTTAAATGCCTTTTCTAGACCTTATAAAGAAATTTCGCTCTAAACGCGTTTTTTCTTAATTTTCTATGTGTATGGACTATGTTTTGGTAAGAGATTTTTCTTAGTTTTTCTACAAAGTATATATGTAAGAAATCGACAAACAGCGCGTTTTGGTTTAGGTTGATAAATATTCTTCATTCATAACGGTATCTATAATAGAGTTGAAACAATAATCAATATAGTTTCCATATTTTCATTTAGAATTAAAATTTTTGCTACAAAAAACTATGAATACTTTGATTTGAAGTAGAGTTATTTTACTTCTCATAACAAAATATTTTTATTGCAAAACGTTGATTTTTATCTTTTTTTTTTCTAATTAAAGTAATGGTGAAATTTTATATTATAATTGTATGAAGCAACAGATTTACACTCAATATATATGAAAAATTCACTAGTTAAACGGATATTTTATTCTTTATATTTTCTGTAGAGAAAAGAACAATTAATAAATTAGGAACATCAGACAAGGTAGCATAAGATTATTAATTAAATCAATCATATATTAAAATCTGTATATTAAAATCATCAGTTGTTCCATTGATAAGATTCGATCACTTCACATTTTAGTTCTTATCGATTCGAATAAATATTTCTTTTTATAAACAAACGGAAAAGAAAAATATGTTATAAATAACAATTTGATATTTTTGGTGAATTTTTATAGGCTTTTTACATACTGATATGTGATATAAGCTATATCACTAAATACCGAAGGTCAAAGCTTCGTATATCATTCGTCATTAAAACAAAAAAACTTATCCATGAAAAAATTTTTCTTCACTTCTGATTACTTTGATTTCTATTCGAAATCTTTCAAAAGTTACTTCGTCCAAATACTTGAAATTTCGTAACATTAATCATCTCTACTGAATCAGTGTCTAATTGTACTTAACAAATGTGGGTGGTACAGTAACTGATTCATATCTGGCAAAGAGAAGAAGAGGAAAAAAAAGAAAGAACGCAATTGTTTTGTTTTTTTTAGCTGCGTCGGTTTTTGTCTTGTTGGCTAATGCTTGCCTACAAGTAAGTCGATTATTACATACATAGCTGCAGCCGAGCATAGGAAAAATGTTTCTGTAAGAAAAAAAAACGATGTAGCTTTGCTTTAGATCTTTTCTTTCTAATGCATTTTTGATTTCCATATCAAATTACATATTATAATGGATGATAATGAACAAGATAAATCAACAGACTTATTAACGAATAAATCATCAGTAATATTTTCGAACGGAATAAATTCATCTACATCATCTGTTAACATTAGTGAACAAGAAATCGATCTAAATCATGACTCTAAAGAGAATGAAACTCAAAATCAGATTGAAGAAAATAATGATGATGAATTTATTCGTATAACAGCAGCGCATCAAATACTTATTGAAGGTAATTATAAAACAAACTTTTATTTTCGTTTAACAATACTTTTAATTTAGCTCAAACATATGATGAACAAAAAAGTTATACATCAGCACTTCATCTTTATCGTATATGTGTTGATTTTCTTCTTGAAGAATTAATGTTTGCAGAAGGTACTGAACAATCTCGTATTTATTTACGTGAAAAATGTTCGGCTATTATGGATCGTATTGATTTACTTAAAACAAAACTTGATCCAGTTCCATCATCCGTCGCAACTCAACAATCAACTAATAATCTCCCCATTGATCAATTCGAAACCCTTAATTTATCTTAGAATTTTTTTTTTTTAATCATTATTTAGGTAAATGTTCATTTTAATTAACATTCGTGATATATATAGTTAAAAATACTTTTCTTTTGTTTTCATATTTATTTCAATCTTTCTTGTTTGGCGTATATGTGAATACATTTAATAAAACATTAGCCCAACAAACTGAGAAAGAAATAAAATATAAATCAATGATAATTATATATATTTATATGATGGTTAACAAGTAGAGATTCTTTCGAGAATAATAAAGATAAATAATAAGAAAAACTCAATGGATGAATTACCATATATGTATATGTTTATATCCAATACCCTAACCGTTTGCGTGTTTTGTTTTGAAAGACAGGCGTAGAAGACAAAAAAGAACACAGGAAGGTGAATCACAACGTTTTTGTCTACCATTGATAATCAGTCATCACTGTCACACACACGTACATATTGAAATAGAAAGGATCATAAAGAAAAGAAAAATTAATGAAAAAAAAAAGGAAAAAGGAGATATCAAGGTAGACAAGAAGTGATAAAAAAAACGACAAAATATTCTCACAGTTAGGCTTTAAATGTTAATTATTTTGTGTTTCTATTGAGCCTTTAATTTGAGATATAACAATAAAGGTATAGACTAAGTAGTACCAACAAACAAAGCACATTATTATCAAGTTTTCACAAAGCTGCTTGAACAGATTGACGCTAAAAGGAAAAAGATTAGTAAATTTTAATACAGATATTTAATTAAGCAAAAACAAAATGAGACTTACCCAAATGTTAAGAATATCAGTAACCGTGTGTTGTGAATTTAATTTAAAAAGATGAGAAATAAATGTCGATGAGATTTGATCAAAAAACGGATGTCCATCTAAAATATCAATTATATTATACAAAACATACATTGGATTACTTTCTGTTAATTATGTAAAAGAAAAGGTTAAATACTAGATTTGACGGATCTTTGATAATGTCAAGCATTATCACGTGAAATAGATTCCTAGAAGAGTTTCCCATCAAAATATATATGTTGTTTAGATTGCAATGATCATATCAATTATTGTATGTCGTAAATGATTGTTTTATATAAAAGAAAAAGTTTCTAAAAGGCCTAAATATGAAATACTACAGTATTATCTATATTTTAAATGAAAAATAATTTATCGTCATTATCTTCGGTCTATTGATTTTTACATCCTGTCATGCAAAGAAAAACATACATTAACTGTAATCAATTACTGGAAATTACCTATATCTATTATTATCAGTCACATGTAGTAATCTCCTAAAAGTTATTTGTGGCAGATATAAATGTCAATGATCGTCTATGTGAATATGATATGCAGTAAATCTTTCTCATGTAGAATACGATATAGAATAATAGATTAGTTTCCTCATTTATTTGTTATTAGAATTTGTAGAAAACTTTTCTTTTACCAGTGAATTCTAATCTTGGTGGCGTTGTTTTTGTTAATGATAAAACTTCAGGTGGTTGTTCTGGATAAGACGTTGTTATATGTAAACGAAGTGGTGGTATAAGAGGATTTGGTTTTTCAAGTAATTTACATCGAAGCATAATGCCATTTTTGCTTAAATATTCATCATCATTATCAATATGTTTTCTTGTACGTGATACTGATATAAATTCAATTGAATAAATATCATCTGGTAATTGATGTATTTCATCATTAAGGTTAGATAATAATGACGATTGATTAGATGAACGAATTTTTATTGTTGAAGGATTATCGACATCAAGACGTATCATTCTATTTGAATAAGAAAATTTCTTTTAGAAAAAAAAGAAAAACAGAAAACTAGTGAAATCAGTTATACTTATGTGGAACACCATTAATAACATCACTTAATGGTTCAAGATATCGTTTTGATATATTTATTCGATCTTTTTGATCACGTAAAAGAAATTCTTTAGTTGCTTTTATACATTGATTAAATACATTTATTTGAGGAGTTGTTGTAGTAGTCGTAGAATTTGTTGATGTTGAAGATGTTGATGAATTATTTGCTTGTTGTAATCGATTCTAAAATATTTTATTCTATTATTATTTTAAATACAAAACAGCAATGAATATTTACAGGAATTTGATCAAGTACATCACGAAAACGTTTAGCATTTGGTAAAGATTCATATGTTGGATTATTAATGAAACTTATTATTTGTTGAAAAGCTGATTGAACTTGACGAACTTTTTCAGTGTTACCTTTAACAGAAAACTCATATATTAATATGAATTTTTTAGATTTATTTTACCTTCACTGTTAAATTTTTGACATAAAAGTTGTAATCGATTGGCATTTTCTTTAAGATATTTTATTAAATTTGCCGTTTCATCATCAGGACTTGAAATAGTACCACTACCTATACAATCAATATTGAATTACATATTATTCAGATTAAAAATTATGATAGAGATTCGTTAATTTTACATATACAACAGTTTTCTAAGAATAAGAAATTGATGAGATTTGTACGATTTTCGATTTAGTGCTTATATAATGTATACATAGAGATGAAACTGTTGATTTCTTCCATGATCAAAACAAAGAGTAGAAGTAGAATGAATGCTAAATGATAAATTGTAGAAACATCTTCTATATGTTATCTTTCACACAAATCGATTTCCTTAGATATTCTAAAATTGTTTTTGTTTTCAATGCAGTATGATCGATTAGACTACCAATGCACTAGAATTAATTCCTTTGCTAGCAAGAGGTACTTAAATACTTGCCATTTGAGTTTATACTGTGTTTATAAGGAAATATTAGAAAGATTAGCAAAAGTTCAAAGGAATTCGTCCTCATGGATCTTTGAAATCGAGTTATGATCGTTGTACTGAATTTTTGACACAGGTTTAGGTATATGCTGAAAGGTAAAACACGCAGAAATTTCAATGAAAAATTTTTTTCACGAATAAATCTAATGGTTCATAGAATATCTTGAAAGTTTCAGCTGTAAACAACGTCAATTTGTGGAGATATTGAATTTTCAAGTAAATTCGATTTTTGTATCATGACTGTGACAAGCGAGACGTTTTTTCAGAAATTCAATAACTCAACAAAAGACCATTCTTTTTGGCTGAAACTTTCAGGATATTCTATGGATCATTAGGCCTATCTATGGACAAAATTTTAGGTCACAATTCAGTAAAACTATCCTAACTTAGCTCCAAAGATCCATGGAGACGAACTCCTTTAGCCTTTTTCTAGTTCTACCAATACCTTCTTGTAGGACTAATATGAGCCCAAACAATCGGTATAACTTTGGATGATTCTTTCGTAATCATAAACCTGGTTGCCCTCAACATTATAAAACACAGTTTACTATTAATGTCGTACTATCATCTTGATGTCTATCTAGAAAATATCCGGTTATAATGGTGTTTTTAATAGATACTTTGTAATTCTTTACTTCACTCTTCTGAATTCTTTAGAGGAAACATTTGCAACTGTCGGATGCTGTTTAGTTTAATATTATGGTTACGAGTGCGAAAATAAGAAAAGCCTAGAAGCATTCGAGTCCATGACCTGACACTGAAGAGTTGTGGCTGGTTTACTGAACGTTTTTTTAGTGAGAGGAAAGTGTTTCTGAACATATTAAAATGCAGAATTTTATCGTCAAATGTTGCCTACAGATAGATCTAATAATCATCAAAAAGTTTCTAAATTTTCAAAGAAAACCAGCGTGCCTTTCTCAAGCTATTCAGTTTCAAGAAAAAATCAGCATCTTATCACAGAAAAATAAAATAGTGCAATCGACTAGAAAGTTGACTATCTTGAGAAAGACACGTTTGTTTTTCTTTTGAAAATTGAAGAAATTTTTAATGATTATCAGCTCTATCTATGGGCAACATTTTAGGATAGAACTCTAAATTTCGATGTTTTTTTGTCTTGCTCTTACAAAAAATCCAGCAAAACAGTAATAACTCTTTATCAGTAGGCCATGGATCTGAATCATTCTAGTCTTTTCTTAGTCTCATAGAGATCTATTCATAGTCATAAGATCAGGTCAAACAACGTCCAATAATCGGGGATGCTCCTTCATTAATTAACAATAGTTACACAAGGATTATTGTTTACAACTGTTTTATATCCATGGCTCATATTATTCGAAATACAATAACTTGCTTTGATTGAAGTTAATCAAATTTTAATAAATGTATGTTTTTTTTTTCTATATGATAGTTTTGGAATTCATTTTGGATCATTAAAAATGGTATAAACTAAATATCTGATAAAAATTATTTAAATTTCTAAGTTTTTCTTTTCGGAAAAAAATACTATTGATATTAAATGTATAGCAAAATCTATATATGTGTATATACCAGTTGATGGTAAAGCACGATTTGTTGGTGATGAATAATTAGTATTCATTGGTGTTGAACTACTAGCTGACAATATTTGTGAACTAATTGAAAGTGGACCATTATTATTGTTTAAAGGACTTTGTTGAATTGTCACATTATTTGATCTTTATAATAAAATAAAAATATGTTATAAAATAAGAACAACAAAAAAACAAATAAAATTATACGGTTGAATTTGAACAGTAGATGTTTGAGTTGGTGTTGGTGTTGGTATTAAAACAAGTGATGGTGAAGGTGAAGGTGGTAATTGTTGAGCTGATAATGATGGTCGATGCGTATTTACACTCTTATTTATATTACTGTTCGTAGTACTAACTGATCGAGGTGGTTGTGACTAAATAAAATATATAATTGAACCATTATTAATATGATTGTTTCAAATGGATTTTGTAAGTCAAGAAAAAGGTTACTCCTTCTCGTGGGCTCAATAAAAGTTAATTTTCGTTAGAAAAATCGAAACTGAGATAAATGCATGAAAAGATAGTTCGAAGTCTGATCTTTCATAAACGACATAAAGTTTTTCAGTAAAATTTGAAATGATTTGAAAAATATACTTTTTTTCAGAAAAAGCGGAAAATCCTTTCTACTTTTTCTCCATCTGTGCTTTTTTGATCACATAATATATAATTCTTTATGAGTTTTCATGCTATATATTTTCTTTTTCTTTTAATTGATAGAGCATGTCAAGATGCTAGGCATGATGGAATCCTTTTTTTTTTTGAATTAATCATTGTTAGTATTATATAAAAAAGTACTGGTATAATTGGAGTGTCATTTTCTGAGAGTTGTCCATACATTCAACTGATTGTCTCTTTCCTCCTCTTAAAACGTTGGAACTTTAAAAAAAAGAGCTCTGCCATGATCTGTATCTTGACATGCTTTTTCAAACAAACAAACAATAATTGAATTTATAGAATGAGGATCCAGAGAGAATTTCTGACTGCCCAATGAGCTATTTGTTATACCTTGTTTGTTGAATATCTCCTGAAGACATCATGGCATAGGACTGAAAATTTTGCCATAGTCTCTTCACTAGAGTTTCAAAATCTGCTGAAAACTTCATGTGATTTAAATGCACATAGTTCAAGATCGATTTTTGAGGATGCCTTTAAATTGAATGTATTGTTACTTAGTTTTGTCAAGTGAGAAAATGACTTCGTTGTAATTCTAATGAAACATAATCTATGGAGTCTCATTGATAAATTTTCCTCTAACATTTTTTAACGAATGTTTTGACAAAATATCTACAAATTTCAATGTAAATCTTTTTTTCGTAGTTGCAACTAGATTTGTCGTAGACAATGCCTCTGAATTCGGATGAATAATAAGTAGAAAGAAGTTTGGATGTGTATCTTACAGAATTTGACATAAGATCATTTTTTGACATTCAAACCGAGCATCATTGGATTGTATTCAGTTTGACCCGAACTTATTATGATCCGACCCTAGTTCGAAGGTGCTTTCGACCAATAAAAATGAGAATTTTGGAAAATAAATGTCCTTTTTGATAAATCTGTGCAAGTTTTTACAAAATTAAAAAGAACAAAAAGTTATTTTAACATTCAGAATTACTATTTTTCTTATGTAAAGTATAACATCGGTCAATTTATTTGAATCCAACCCGAATCGGAGGGGTGAGAATATTTTTGATCACTAACTTAATTTAGATACTTTTGATCACCAAATTTTCCTACAATTCATTTCGCATTATCATTCTCAATAAAAGCTGTGGATATGGAATCTTCTGATCATCCATCCACACCCACACTTACGCATACGCGTCTTCACCCACGCCCACGCCCACGCCCACACCCGAACCCACAAACCTGCACCCAATAACTGTGATATTGTCAAGTGAATTGACGACACGTAGCAGGATCCGGTCTAATTGTAAGGTTAACATTTTCAAAAAAGCAAATAGATATGTACTTTTTCTACAGATTCACACAACCTAATCACTAAGAATTGGGATCATAAATTAATTAGCTTCTCCATATACTGATTTCTTTGATCATACATTAATCTTTTTGATCACTGGAAACAGTTCTGAATATGAATGAGGCGTTAAATGAGTTCTGTAGAAGCATTCGAGAAGAGAAAATGAAAAATCGCAACTCGAAAAAAATTGGTGATCAAAAGTACTTTTTTTCGAATCGAAGCCTAGCGTCTCATTCATTTGAAAAATTTTGCTTTCAAGAATTGAAATCTATAAAATGATTGCACAAAAGTAAAAACTTAGAATGAAAGAATAGGTAGTTGGTTCAAGTACATCTTACTTACAATGAAACCTTTTCAGCTGCTTTCTTTTGTTTTCAATAATTTTTTGTCTATAGATACTGTTCAGTGCTCTAGTAAAAAATCGTTAAAGGATTGAGTTCCTATTACTTCCTTCAAAAGTTAGGAACATTTTGGTTTTGCCTCTATACTGAATAACATGCAATGTTGGCTATAAAGAGCAGTACAATAAAAAATGAAGTATCTCTGTATCGGTTCAATCAAATGGTTTGATCTTTCGCCTATTGGTAGAAGTTTATTCAAAGCTTTTTGTTCATACGGATAAGGCGAGTAAATAATATCATTACGTATTATTGTTGGTATCATGAAAACAATTTTATCTGTTATCAAGTAAAAGAAGTATATGTTTCGCATTTCATTGATGATTTTGAGTTGCCATCTAAAGAGAATAAGAAGAACAAGTCAAAAAAAAAGAAATCTATGAATGATTCTATATTGATGTAAATAAAGTAAATTTTCAAAAATAGTGTAGTTTCAATTCGGAAGCTCGTGCCATATAAATCAAACACACAATTGCAGCTCTTTTGGTGTCAAAATACCAAGTATCTTGGAAAAATCCGTATTCTATGTTTGAAAATTCGACATTTTATAACGGCTAACTTTGAAACGAACTATTTTTGAAAAGTTACTTTATTTACATCAATATAGAATCATTCATAAAGTTCGTTTTTGACTTGTTTCTTTTATTCTCTTAGATGACCACTCAAAATCATCTAGAAAATGTGAAACATATACTTCTTTCACTTGATAACAGATAAAATTGTTTTCATGATACCAACAATAATATTTCATGATAATATTTGCTCACCGTATCCATATGAAGACAAAGCTTTGAATTAACTTCTATCAATAGTCAAAAAATCAACCCATTTGATTGAACCGATACAGAGATATTTCATTTTTTATCGTAGTGCTCTTTATGGCCTACATTGCATGTTATGCAGTATAGAGGCAAAATTAAAATGTTCTTAATTTTAGAATGAAGTGATAGGAACCCAATCCTTTAACAGTTTTTACTAGAGAATTGAATAGTATCTATAGGCAAAATACCGTTGAAATCGGAAGAGGATAGCTGAAGATATTCCCTTGCTAGTTGTACAACGATAAAACAAGTGATTGATTACTCGAAATAACTTACCATAATCGTTGGTGCTGTTTGTCGGTTTGGTATTAGTATTTTATTCGATCCTCCATCTGTATTCGATAAAAGTATTCGTTGTAATACTATAAAATATTTTATTATAATAATAAAGATAAATTCATTTTGATATTCGATAAATAACTTACATTGATCACCGGTTGATGAATTATTTGTATTCACTGTTGCCACTGTTGCTGTTGATAATAATGATGACGTTGACATTGGCATTGGTGATGATGATGATGATGACGATGCTGACATTGACATTGGTGAAGAATTTCTAACAAAAATTTGATGTGAATTATCATTTGGTTTATTGGATAATGCCGGTTGTTGTTGAAAATTGGCTAAGAAAAAATAAAAGTGACAAAAAAATAAAATCTTTTTTGTTTTTCATTTACCATTTGGAATCGGTATTCTTTGTCTTGGCACATTCATTGTTGCTTGGATAGGATATCGTGGTTGGAGTGTTGAATAATCCGTTTGATTATTACCATTAATTTGTTGTGATGAATAATCTTGAGATATATCAATTGTTGTTGTTGATGATGATGACGGAGATTGCGAATAGGATGAAGTATTTATAGGTGCTATAGAAAAAGAAAATTAGGAAAAAAGACTTAATTAAAAATTTGAAGATTTAATTACTTTGGTTAAATTGTTGTGGTTCACGTAATCGTGTCATTTGGTTAAGAACAATTGGTTGAGAACTATTCATCCGTGGTATTTGTTGGACAACAGGAAAACGAGGTGATAGATTTGGCATCTGATTTAATGGATGTTGGACTTGATTAATAACAGATATAGATTGTTGTTGAAGAAGATTCGTTTGTGGGTTTGGAAATCTTATATTGTGATTCATTTGCAGTTGCTGTTGTTGCTGCTGTTGCTGCTGTTGCTGTTGTTGTTGCTGTTGCTGTTGATGTTGTTGCTGCTGTTGTTGTTGCTGTTGCTGTTGATGTTGTTGTTGCTGTTGCTGTTGCTGTTGCTGTTGCTGTTGCTGACTGGCACGATTATGAACAGCAGCTAGAAGTTATTAAAGAAATGTTTCATGGCATTCAATAAATTCATAATCTCGACATATTAAACTTTAGAATTAAGAATCCAAAACAAAATACTCCTATTCAAGATTTTATAGAATTTATAGGTTATTTTTGAAAGTATTATATAGTGGAGCTAGCCATCTGTCATCCACATATGGACATAGGCAGACCGGCATATTATATTGAGGTGTGGTAATATATTGTAACAGGTGAGGCAATAACTAATAATATCTCATTATTATAGAAGAAAACATGTTTTGAACCTTGTGTAAGCAACTTATAAAAATTTCTACGTGTGGCAATTGTCCTCAACTGCCTTCTGGTGGCGTTCCCATAAATACGGACAGGGTTCAAACTTAAAAGGAAAGAAAGCTGAGTTAACAACTGAAAGGAGCACGATTGATAGTACTCAAAATGAAAACGTTTCTATTCCTGAGTAACATTAAATACTCTGGACACGCGACATCTTTCTTAAAGTGGGCAACTCGAAAATTTATGAAATAGATAGTAATGAAACACATCTTTAAATAGGCATCAATCATTATAAGTTTTCAATAAAATGAAGTATTTAGTTTGTCAAAACTTCAACCGCAAAACATGTGATCCCTCTAAGAGACTGACTCTGTAGATCGAATAAGATGAATGCCAGATTGGAATGTCTTTCATTGTGAAATTACATTCTGATTACATCGGTGGACACGATGGAAATGTGCATGATGATAAATACGATAGAAGAGTCCAATAAGAGTGATGAGAGACGAAAAAAAATCCAGGTGAAAAAAAGAATATAAAAGGAAAAAATTTATATGAAAGGAAAGAAAGGAAAATGTGAATGTGCTGTGTAAGAAAGATACACTGGGAAAGAAACTAGAGTTTTGTGGGACTGTCCCGCAGAACTCTAATAGAAACATTATGGAGTGAAACTTGGTTATTCCATGACATCAATTTTGATTTTTTTCGAAAACCTCTCGAATTGAAAAAGTCGAAAAATTATTTTTCTTGGATTCTAATGGAAATGTACATCATTTGATGCAAAACTCTGTACGGGTGATGAATATCTGATTTTGTTGAGTTTTTCCTATATCATTCTAATTCAAACTGAGATTTTTGGAACAAAAAAGAAATTTCGTAACAAACACTATTTTTAGTTTGTTATTCGACGCAATTATGCTGATTAATAAATGACCTGATATTCTGAAAGCTTGTTAAAAATTGAAGAACTTTTACACAGAAAGTTTATTTGTGTGTCGTTTTGATTCGTAGTACAATGCTTAACTCTCAGCACGTATTTAAAAAAAAATCCGTTTTTTGAAAGTTCGTAACATTCTTAATATTTTGAATAGTTGAGCTCTAGCTAATAGAGAACCAATGAAATTTTCCGTACTAGTAGATCTAAATGGTTTCTATTTATGACAATAGTTTCAGAGAATTTGCATTTGTCATTCATGAGAAATAGATGTTACAATGTAAAAAAATGAAATTCTATAACACTTTGCCACGCCTCACGCTAAAAATCAAATAATCAATATTTTTTTCTGTCACTGTATCTCTTTTATCAAAGAATTACATGTATTCATTACTAACCGACATTTACAGTTAAGCCTTTCTAATCTATTTTTATTGTGCATTTATAATACTATAAAAGTTCACATTAAAAGACTTCGCACGATAAGAGTCAAAATCTGTCTCCCCCTAAAGTACTTTAAAATATACACTGCATGAAAGAGCATGTTATTCGACGATTTTTTTAATGTAATGGATTTGTTTTTTATCATTGATAAGAAGCCAAGATGACTCAGCGGCTTGAGTATGGGAGATATACGTATAGTTAAAGATTAGCATGAATGAAATCCTCCTGCCCATGAATATTCTTGATATTGAATACTACATTAGATACGCTTGTCTTCGTTTTACAAAACACGTATAGACACTCGATAAGTTCTCTTTGTTTTCTGAGAAACAAATAGGTCAGACCGAGCTAACAGCGACATATTTGCAAATAGTTCAAACGAAATATGTTTTCCGTCGAAGACGTACCTGTGCCAGAACTGGGTACAAGGCAGGGCAAAACTATAATATATGTCCTGGTCTGCCACCCGTCGGATTTTAGTAAGGTAGCTGGATATGACACAGAAAAAAATGTCCTGTCCCTAGCTCTGACATGCACTTACTCTCAGTATTTTTTCTTAGAGTTTTTGCCTATGACTCTCCTGGGATATGTTTTCGCTGAAGTATATATCATTCGACGCAGTTTTCGATGCTGATCATGGTTTTCATGTTGAAAATTCATTTCAAAGATCTGCTTTCATACAAACGATTGATGTCATGTCTGAAACTAGCTGAAAAGAGGGTGTTTTATGAGATACATGTGGAGAATTCTAGATTCGGACGCTTTTCAAGTTTTTGAATAACTGCCTTTTTGAGAGTGAAGAAAGGCGCATTTAATTACAGTATTCAATATGAAAGATATTTACAGACAAAAAACTTTCGTTCATGCCAATCTTTAATCATACATGCATGTCTGATATACAAGTCGGTGAACTATATCGGCTTCCCATTAATGATAAAAATCAAATTCACGGCATTCAAATATGGAGAACAACATCCTCTTTCATTCAGTGTATATGTTAATATATTTTACGGTTGGTCACAGAGTTCGACTCTTATCATGCGAAGTCCTCTTATCTTTTAGAAAAATACATCTACGACACAAAAGAGATATTTATAAAAATAGAATTCTTACTTTGAATTTGTTGAAAATAAGCTTGCACAAATTTTAAATAATTAGGCTAAAAAATGCAAAATTTCAAAAATAAATATATTGTTTTTAACTTCTAATCTACCTTAATGCCACGTGATTTCTCAAATGCTTGCTCTTCAATTCGTGTTGATAATTGTAAGGGCCATTTTGAAGCTCTGCATACGAAAAATAAAACAAATTCTATAGTTTATAATAGAAAAACAAAAAGGAAAATTTGTCATACAATTTTTGTATTAATGCTTGTCGTTCACTTGGTGTTACTACTGTTTGTCCATTAGAACCTGTTGGTTGAGGTACACCTGTACTCATCATCAAATCTGATCAAGAAAACAAAGAAAAAACGAAACAAAAGTTTGTTGTATGGAATCAATAATAAAGAATCCATCTGATATATAAGATCGGTTTTCGAAATAGTCTCTCATATAGAACAAAAAAAAAAAGGAAAAAATCCTGACAAATAATAACAACACAAATACAATGATAAGACAAGAACAAAAGAAAAAAAGGACACAGAGACAAGATTAAATATCGTAAATTTCTATACAGAACAGAACAGAACAAAAAAAACACAAAACGTGAAAAAAAATTCTATCGTTGAAGAGTATTTGTTGGAAATTGTGAACATTGGGCTTTTAAATGATTTGGACTTCCACATATAAAACATTTTCGTCGTTGATTATTTGAATAAAATAAACGATTAGAATTATTTGTTTGTTGTTGCTGATTTAATTGATATGGAAAATTTGAATAAATTAATGGTCGTTCATTTGAATATGGCTGTGTCCAAATACGTTGATGAGATCCTATCTGATATGGATATTGATATTCATTTGGTAGATAATAATATTGTGAATATAAAGAATATTGAGAATTATTAGTAGAAATATTTGAATATGATTCATATTGGTTGTTTATTAATATTTGTTGTTGTTGTTGTTCGGGAACGATTACTCGTTTTAATCTTTCTTTTTCATTTGTTAATGATATTAATTTTGGACAACGTTTACGAATATGATATAGTTCTTTACATTCGGCGCATCGTTTTGGAGCATTTGTTGGACATAAATCATTCATATTGAATAAAATTGACTATGTAATAAAAATAAACAAGTGTGACAATTTTTTCGAATAGTAATTTAGACAAAATTTTTTATATTCAAGTAATGTTATCTTTTGTTTAAGAGGTAAAAAGTTTTATGATATGCAATCGTTTAAAAATGAAATTATATGCCGAACAGATATTATTTTTTCGATCTTAATATGTTGTTTGATAATAACTAAAGAGAGAACCTCTTGAGGTGTCAAATCGCTTTCCGACTGAAACGATGTTCATTTGATGAATGTTAGAGTTATAGAAGTCTAGATTGATTTGATTTGCCGTGTCTGCATTCTTAGGATACCGAGATTTTACTGACCTTTTGAACAAAAAAGCTGTGTTCACGTGGAAAATCGACTTTCAAATTTCGATTTCAAACTTTGCATGAACAAAGTTCTTAATGCGATCAGATTGATTATGCAAATTTTAGCTTTTCTAATATTTTCTTTTCGGAGATGTAAATATACAAACAAAATTTACTTTTATACATGAGACAATTTCGAATCTTGAATGCTTCCGGATAGGAGACACTCGAAAATTTATAACTTGCTCAGTGAGCTAATTCCATCGAGAACTTTGTTCATGCAAAGTTTGAAGTCAAAACTCAAAAGTCGATTTTCCACGTGATCACGGCTTTTTGTTGAAAAACTCAGTAAAATTTCGATATCTCGAGAACGAAGGTTCGGAAAACCAAATCATTCTAGACTTTTCTGTTATTTACTAGGATTCATCAAGTGAACATCGTCTCGATCGAAAAGTGAGTTGAAAACTGAAAAAGTTTCCTTGCGAGATCTTCTTTCTCAAGATTTATAAAATATATCTGAACTCATCTGTCAATAGTATATAAACACATTCATATTCAGACTGGTTGAAGATAAAGTCCAGAGGTATGAGCTCTCATATTTAACTCCCGCGAAAGTTGACGAGTATCTCCTTCCTTTCAGTAATTGAAAATAATTCGAGAAGTATATATATATAGTCGAAAATGACATAGCCGAAATGAAGACTACGTAATTTTGACGATGTGTTTATCAATTATGATTGTTTGTCATGATCTCGATTTCGATGACAGAAACTCGAAATTACATATATTATATAGATCCAAATGAGCGATGAATATCCTGAAAATAGTTCTTGTCCATAGCTTGTTGCTACGAAGATACTGCACTTATATGGTATTTTTAAATACATATCGAGACCCCCTTCAGGAACACTAGAAAAAACTGATTTTCGAATTTCAACTTGACACTTTGTAAACAGATGTTTCTTATAGAATTCTACGATCATTGTAAATTAATTTCTAACTGATGCTGAAACGAAATCATTTGAAATGGATCTACTACCATCCAAAGCATGATTTAAACCAATATCGATAGTTATTGAGAAACTTTCGCGACCTTGATAAAGATGTTCATCTGATTTATTACCTAGCAGTAAAATTAACTTGATAATACCTATTTAAGAAATATTGGAAATTATTTTTAATTGACTCCATTATAATATTACGTTAGCTTTTAATAAGACTTCTAGCAAATGATGATAGGTTTTCTTAAAAGACCGATTAATTCAATTTGAAAATAAAATTCTTACTTGAATAAGTTGCATATCTGGCTTAGAAATATCAACATCTTTTGACTGTAAACCGAACTGTTGTCGTGCACGAATAAGTACTCGACGAATAGTTGTCCAATCTAGATTCAAATAACATTAATAAATATAAAAATAAATTAAATTGAGTTTTTACTTCTAATAGATAAACCACCGGCTAGATTATGATTTAATTCAAATGGATCTTCAATAGCTATTGTTTGTCTAAACCAACCTTTTTCATATTTTAATAATGGTTCAATTTGTCGGATAGTTACAACACGTTCATCATAATTAAATTCTTCTGTATAAAAACGTAGAAATTCTATCCATAATTCACCAACTGATAATTTATTTTCATTTTTCCATAAATTATTCTAAAAATTAAAATTTTAATATAAATAAACATATTCTTTTTTATTCTACAAACAAGTGTAAGTAAATCTTCATAAAAATAAACATTCCATTTTGAACATTTTCTATACAATGAATTTTTCTTTGTTGCATTACCACTAAGCTAAAGTTTTAAATTATAAATTTGAAAAGTGAAGCAAAACAAAAACAAACTTGTTGAAGAACAGGTAAAACGGGTGGTTGAATTTGTTGAAGAAAATGGATAACCATTATTATATATGCATAACTTGATAATGTACCACGACTTGCATCACCTATGTCACATGTCTAAAATACAGAATCGTTGTTTTTGGTGAACTTTCATGAAAAAGATCTTTTGTTAAATGTTTTTTTTCTTCTTACTTTTGCTAAATGTTTTATCATATAACCAAGTTGAGATACACGTGGATCAATATCGGCATATGCTTTTAATAAACGTGTATTTTCAATAGCCTTAAAAAGAAACAAATTTCCATTATATGTTAGAGAAAAAGCATCGAAATTTTGAAGAAATTATCCAACTGTAAATAGATATGAAATGAGATCGGTTCAGGTTTTTCAAAATTTAAAATCGAATTGAAACGAAAGTTGATTTGAAATATTGTGAATCGGTCCCATCTTTGTTCGTGAGATTATAATCTCACTCGTACTTTATTTCTATAACGATATCTACATTCAATCTTCGCAACAATCTAACGAATATATATATGTTATGGTCAAAATTGGAATCTGGTCAAATTCTAAATTTGCCTGGTCAAAATTAGAATTCAAACTTTGCCCGGACGAAATTAGAATTGAACTAAAAATAAATTGATCAAGTTGAAAACAGTTAGAGCTTGCATAAATAGTTTTTTATTTTACAAACTATTTAAAGATGCAACAAACTCAAGGTTTGGGATTTAGTATTATAAGGTTTGGATTTGAGATCATATTTGAATTTGATTTGAAGTTGTGTTTGGATTTCCAGTAGGATTTTATTTGATTTTAGACTCAAGGTGGATTTGGATTTGGCGTCCTATAGATCAAAGCCCAAAAGATCTGGTAAAATGTGGTGTTACCAACAACATTCAACACTACTAGTGGTAGAGTAGAACTAGAAAAAAGATTTTAGCATCTGCAACCGAATCCAAATCCAAACACAAAGGATTTAGTCCCAAATCCTAAAATTCTTTTTTGGTTCTACCCAATCCTAGTATAGTAAGTTGTTGCTTGTGACACCATATCTTACCAAATCCTTTGGATTTTGAACCACTGAAGATCAAATCCAAATCGAGTCAAAAACCAAATCAAATCCGACTTGAAAACCAAACACAACTTCAAATCAAATTCAAATATGATCTTAAATCCAAACCTTATAATATTAAATCACAAATATTGGGTTTGTTGCATCTTTAAATAGTTTGTAAAATAAAAAACTATTTATGCAAGCTCTAACTGTTTTCAACTTGATCAATATATTTTTACTCCAATTCTAATTTTGCCCAAGAACAATATGGTCAAAATTAGAATCCTAATTTTGTCCGGGCAAATTTAGAATTTGACCAGATTTCAATTTTGACCGTAACATATATATAAGAAGATACTATGAAGAAAATCCTTGATGAAAAATGCATAGAACAACATGAAAGAAAGAAGAACAGAAGGAAAGTGGGAAGTCCAAGATATTTGACAGGAAAGAAAAAGTCCATAGCGCATGACTAACAATAAGAGAAAAATTCTTGTGGTTGCATTTGAAGATGATGCAGGTCATAACACTATTCTAAAATAAACATGATATATTGACTTTTCAGGACAAATTTTTCCAATAACTGAAGATTTTCAGTTCATGTCTTCTTTTCTATGAAATTTCGAAAGCGGCAAAAGAATTTTCAGTCGTTGTCGTGCTCAAATTCAACCGATAAAATGCGAGAATTAATTCAGAAATTTCTTTCAATGACTTTTTCGAATGTGCTTTGAAGATGTTACAATTTGAGCGGATTAAGAGGTTTCTTGAAGATGGAAAAAAGATATTTTCGAGATCAAGTCGAATATTTTTACAATCAGTTTCATAGAAAAAAATTTGTCATGCTATGTATTCTTATTAAATTCTTATGATTTTAATGAGAGTTTAAAGTTCTGTTGAAATATTAAATGAAAACATTATTAACTGTTTAGCTACAGAGATTTTTCAAAGATGATGAAGAATGTGCATTTGCTTATAGAAGTCTCAAATCGGGCATATACTTCAAAGGATAACAATGGATTGTATTACGCTTCAACCAACATGAAAATTCAGTACCTAGAGAGTGAAGTAGAGTTATCCAAAACCTCTTAAAATCTTTCGCATAACACCATGAATAATCAAGATCTGATCAAATGAAAGGTCTAGTGTCCCGGCAAACTTGAGTTCTAGTAGCAATCGCAACTTTTTAAGGTGACAACGGTATTAGAATTCTAAGGGATTTTACGGATTTCTGTTTGATTCTGTAGGGCTTTGAACGGTTTTGAAAACAAAGGAAGTCTATAAATCCGCATAAACCTCGAAATCGACATTTCCTTCTTTTCCACTTGACATACATATACAAGCACCAAATTTCTATCATTATATTTCAATACTCATTTTGGATGGTATTTCATAAAAAAAAAATTGAATAAACTTCAACAATTATTTTCATAGCTACAATATTTCTTTTGCTCTCAAGTAAACTTTTTTCATTATTTCTTATTGAATTTCTTCAAAATTCGAATATTTTTTATATGAATTATGTAAATAGAAATATTTACAAGCATATTATGGAAACTAATATCGATTTCAATTTGTAATCGTCGATGTCTTGAACGAATAATTGGTACTTTAGCATGCAATATTGCTTGAACACTTTCGAATGTATCTGAATTTGATCTCATTGATTTAAGTATTTTTCTCATTATTTGAATAACTTCATCGGGCTAATTAATTAAAAGAAGAAATTTTTTAAAATTCAATATGATCTTTTTTTCTTAAAATACAAACATTTTCATCTCTTTGATCTTTAAAAACAATACAAACATCAAGATCACTTTGTCGAAAACCAAAACCATTATAAAACGATCCAAATGCATATAAATTACAATCTGGATAATCTTTTTCAAATTGTTTTTGTAATTGTTTTAAAATTCTTTCACGATTTTCTATATCAATCTGTTTTGGTTTACATCGTTCTAAACTCATAAATGAAACAACATAACAAATATTTCATAAAATATTAAAAAAATATTACCAGTTATATAATAACATAATGACGAAAGTATTTCAATCCATTCTTGACTTCTTTCAGGTAAATCAATCATATTTGGCACAATTAACTCTGGACATTCAGACTTTAAATGACCTACATTATTGCATATTGTACAGACGAATGGAGCACCCTTTAATAGAAATCCTTTTTATTCTTAATTGATAGAAAGATGAAAAGGAAAGTAACCTGTTCTGCATGAAAGTTTTCTGCTTGAAAATCATAAAAAAGATCAGAAGAAGGATTATCAATAGATGATAATTGTTCATCTTTTATGGGTGACGTAAATACTGATGGATTATCATCGGAAGAATTTTTATTTGTATCTTCTTGTATTTCTATTGAAATAGATTCAATTAATGGAATGTCAACATTAGTTGTTTCATTTTTGTCTTTGGATGTTGGTTTTAATTTTTCATAGACTTCTATTACTTTATCATTGACTATATTGCCTAAATTTAAGAAAAAAAAAAAAGAACATAGTTAATAATTGAAATAAAATTTATTATTATAGAGATAAAATGATAGCAAAAATGCAATTTGTTAGTTTGTAAGTAGCAACTATTACCTTGCCGTTCATATGCTCTATTTAAAGTACGTCTCTGTTTTTTATTGAGATTCTGCATAAGTTCATCAATAGTAATACTTTTTTCATCACCATGATTATTATTATTATTATTAGGATATTTATTATCATATATATTTGCTATACCTTGTTCGTTATCTGTTGTGATTGGTGATGAATGATTTGTTTCATTCGAGTTGTTTTCTTCATTAGTTGATGAAAATAACTGTCGACTAAAAGAAAATTAGAAATAAACAATTAAATATCTATGCAGTGTCACAAAAAGACGTGATAAGAAAGTAAATTCGTATATAGGATAAGCTGAATTTTGATTTATCATTCGTATTTTCATTCTGAATAGAGATGTAACAAATCAAGAATAGATGTAGGTTTGGACTAAATCCACATAAATAGTTTGCAATGCGGTGATCATTATCGAAACGTAAACTATTTATATTATTTTTGTCCTCGATCGAATCTCAAAAATCTTTTTCTTATTGTGCTGCACTTCTAGTAACGTAGATTGTTGTTGATGTCTCGTTATCTTATTATATCATAAGGCTCTGGATTTGTTACATCCTTAATTCTAACAACTTATACTGGCGAAAAAGAATTTTTTTTTCAAATTTTATTCCATCTATATTTTTTACATCCCTTTCGCAATAGAAGATTCACCTTAATTAATTAATCTCTAGGAAAATGGGAACTTTCATTAGTACATTCATATTAAAATATGCCTAGTTTTTTAGGTTTTTGAGCTGAAAAATCTTAAACGACTGAGATCAACGTTATTTCTGGGTTATTAAAATTCTAGAAATCTCTTTCTAAATCTTCGAAATTGTTTTAGTTTTTGAAAAAAAAACTTATTTATAAAAACTATGCAAATAAATTAGATACATTAGAAGACTTGGAGTCTTCTATGGCAGGCAAAGGTTTAAACGATCAATCACAATAGGATATTTCAAATTGACTACAATCGAAACATAAACTGGTACTCGGCCTAGTTTGAAGGCAAAATAAACTTCATCATTCCCATTGAATTCTTATACATAGGGCATACCAAAAGTTCGTGCAGTGATACTTTAATACCTTATGATAAGCTTTAAATAACTTTCTTTCTATATAGTCTGATAGAGAAAAAAAAGCTCTATCTTTCATTGCTATTTGATCGTACTTCAACTAATATAATAATATTAAATTATCTATAAAACCTATTTCGGCTGGTTGTACTAGATCACAACGTGTGAGAACAGACTAGTTTTCAATCCCTTAATACATTGTATGAACAACCAAAATATACCACAAGATGCA